TAGTAGAAAGGGCACTTGAGAGTGTGAGTTCAAGTCCTGCCACCACTGTTTACTAGCTGTGCAACACTGGGCAAGTTAAACTTAACTTCTCTGGCCTCTTGTATCTTCATCTTTAAAATGGTATCACTGCCCTGGCCGGTTTGGCTCAGCGGTTAGAGCGTCGGCCTGCAGTCCTGAGAGGCCCGGGTTCGGTTCCCGCTAAGGGCACGTACCTCGGTTGCAGTTTGTCCCCGGCCCTGGTCGGTCGTGCGGGTGGCAGCCACTCGATGTTTCCCTTTCACATCGATGTTTCTCTCTCTCTCTCCCTCCCGCTCTACCTGAACAAAAAACAAACAAAAAAAAATGTCCTCGGGTGAGGATTAAAAAATAATAATAATAAAATAAAAAAATAAAATGGTATCACTGTCCGGCCAGTGTGGCTCAGTGGTTGAGTGTCGATCCATGCACCAAAAGGTCGCTGGTTCAATTCCCAGTCAGGACACATGCCCAGGTTGTTGGCCTGATCCCCAGTGTGGGGCATGCAGGAGGCAGCCAATCGATGTTCTCTCTCATTGATGTTTCTATCTCTCTCTTTCTCATTTCCTCACTCTCTAAAATCAATAAAGGGGGAAAAAATTGTTAATAAATAAATAAAATAAAATAAAATGGTATCACCAATATACAACATAGAGTTGTCATGAAATTGGATGAATATGTTTCATTGATTGGAGGTAGAATTTGGTGAGTTAGTGGACCAGCATAAAAGTCAACTCATACAAAACATATGAACATACAAACATGTCACTGTAATTGGAAGACTAATCACACCACTCATAGCAGTTGCACAAGATGGTATTTCTTTGGGTTTCAAAATGGCAGATTGTTTTCATGATAAAGATGTTAAAATGTCTTAAACATGGCTGGTTTAGCTGAGCTCACATCAAATGAAGAAAAGGAGCCCAGTGAAGATCATTATCTTTATGACTTGGTCTGAGATGTGTTTCTCAATATGCACTTAGAGGAATGATAGTTATTTAACACACTCCTATTACTACCTACATGGCCCCTAATCTCCTTTCTCCCCCTCACCCTGGTGCTCTTCCACATATTTATAAGTGACAAGGCTCAAGGCAAACTTTCCCCTTTCCAAGCATTTAGCGCACTTCCTGTGAAAGTTCCCTTTTGTAAAAAGTAATTTAGCACTGTCCTTGTCCCAGACACTCTGACATCCATGTGTGGTCTCTGGTGCAGAGCTTTGCCTCAGATTTCATGAGGCTGGGGAAGGGAGGTGCTCAGTGTGTGGGGAGGGGAGAAATGACCCTGCTCATTTGCGGTTGTCTTCCAGAGCTCTTCCTCCATTTTCCTGGTTCTTCTACTATTAAGGCCATTCTCTTTCAGGCCTGGGGTGTATCCATGTCTGTCCTGCTGTTGCCCTGATGACGGTGTTGGCCTTGTTTCTGGTGGTTCCTTTAGTTTGACAAGCCTGTCTCAGGGAAAGGGGGAGTGATCAGAGTTGGAAGGAGGGAGGAGGAAGATGCTGGAGTACCAGGGACAGAGGTGGACCTGCAGCTCTGTGGGGGACACCAGACCCCTGTTAGGGGAAGGAGCTACATAGAGAATTGGTCAGTGAAGAAATCACACATGCACACCCCTTCCTTGGCTGAAACAATAGCAGCGATTGCTTTATTCTCTTTCAAAGGGAAAAGCCAATAGGCAGAGGTTGAGGAGGCTATTGACTATTGAATCTCTTTCGGGGGTCACTGCTTAGGGGAAAAAAATGCCTCTATAGTTGTCTTCAGCTATTTTAGAACTAGAAAGTGGGGAGAAAATGCTTTCATGTTGGTTTGCATTTTAAAAATTAAACAAACAAAACATCTGCAAATTTCGTTTCCTTGATCACCCGGTGGCTGTGGATTCTGGGATAACTTCTCTCACTCCTTCGCCCTTGGTGGGGGGAGAGAGGGAGGGAGACCTAGGCCACCTCCCTTTTTTTTGCCACTTTGGTTCAAGATATTTTTGAGATGTGATTCAGACCTAAGAATGAAAATGGGGGATGGGACACTCTGGAAAAGGACTAGCTTTTTTTTTTATTGTTGAAAGTATTACAGATGTCCCCCTCTGACCCCCTCCTGCCCACTTCCACCCCATCCTGCCTTCACCAAGCTCATTTTACATGGCGAAGGGTTGAAGAAGTGCCATCCCAATAAATGGATACTTAACCCTGGGTTTTTGGGTTTTTTTAATCTTCACCCGAGGACATTTTTCCCCCCATTTTTTGTTCAGATAGAGTGGGAGGGAGAAAGAGGAAGAGAGAGAGAGAGAGAAACATCGATGTGAAAGGGACACATCGAGTGGCTGCCACCCGCTGAACCAAACCGGCCAGGGCTTAACCCTGGGTTTTAAGAAGCCAAGTTCATGCATTAAAGCCAGAATTGGCCTCCTGGTTTGTGGGAGCTGCAAATGTTTTTTTCAGGAACAAAAAGTATGCTAAACTTAGTCACTTAAGATCTGGGTTCAAGTTCCCACTCCATTGTACTTGGTGATAAGCCTTAGAGATACTTGTCTTTTAATCTGCCTTACAAGTTGTGGTTAAAAATAAGAACGTAGCAGGTACCAAGTGAGTGCTTACTGTGAAAATTATAGATGATATAATTAAAACACAAATGAAATTATAAATTGAAGATCATAGCTTCCATTCCCATATAAGCTCATTACCATCATATTAAGATTTGGGGGCAAATCCAGCCAGTTATCTGGCAATCATGAGCGCTATTTTTTTAATACTTTACCTTACTCTCAATATTTTTGTATGAACAGGGTCACTACCTAAATGTTAAACCACTATTAGAATCTGATACTGATCATTGAATTACAGTATAACCTTTTAATACATTTCTAGAAATAGAATGTTTAAAATAGTGAAAGAAAATAGTACCATGAACTATAATTGGATTTTACTATTTCAGTGGGAGGAGGAGGAAGGAAGGAAGAAAATAGCTGATTATCTGCATATATGCACAACCGATGGACACAGACATCGGGTTGGGGAAAGCAGGAGGGGGTGGGAGCGGGGAGGAGGGGTCAATGGGGGACTAAGGGGTGCAGCTATAATACCTTTAACAATAAAAATTTAATTAAATAAATAAAATCACTGGACAGAACAAAAAAGAAAAGAAAAGAAAGTAGCTAATGCAACAGAAGAGCTCATTATCTTATCTTTTGAGATTTGCTTTTTTCCCATCCCGAGAGGCATGGAGACGGTTCCCTTCGCTAGAGCAGTTAGAGGAACCTTCGAAGTTGTGCCTCCTAAAAGAGCATCTTCCTGAGGTAAACTGTAACATGTCCTGAAAGTCAGAAGGAGAATGTTGAGTATAAGATGAGGTGCTCCATTACATGAGATGAGGTGATGTCATTGGAACAAGGTGATGGAAGGCAGGATACAAAAATGAGAAGAACCCCACTCAAATAATTCTTTATAAAAAGTTTGGATTAAATGAGATGAAATAAAACAGCAGAGAAGCTATTTGAGAACTTTGGCCTTATAACCCAATTGTACTTTGAAAACAAATGGAAGCCCTGGCCAGTTTGGCTCAGCGGTTAAAGCATCAGCCCAAGGACCAAAGAATCACGGGTTCGATTCCAATCAAGGGCACGTACCTCAGTTGCAGTTTGGTCCCTGGCCCTGGTCAGTGTCATGCGGGAGGCGACCAGTCAATGTGTCCCTCTCACATCGATATTTCTCTCTCTTTCCCTTTCTCTCTCTCTCTCTCCCTCCCACTCTATCTGAAGATAAATAGAAAAATATTCTCGGGTGAGGATTAAAAAATAAATAAATAAAAACAAATTGAAGATCATTTAGTATAGTATGGGAATAATCACTTAAATTTTATATACAAACATCAAAAAAAAAGACTCCCCAAGTACATTTATAAAATCATAATTCTTTTTTAAAAATTTAATGGCAGTTAATCTATGAGAGTCACCACAGTGCTTGGATTTGAGATATGCTTAGATGATCCTGCCAGAGATTTTTTGTTGTTTGTTTGGTTTTTGGTTTTTGGTTTTTAAAAGGTTTATTGAGGGATGATTTAGAGTAAAATTTACCCTTTTTAGGCATAATCTTATAGCCACCCCCACAATTAAGATATAGATAATTTCCATTGCAGTTTCCTAGTGTCCCTTGGTTGTCTGTCCTCCCTTTACCCTTAGACTTTGACAACCACCAATCTGTTTTCTGTCCCTACATTTTTGTCTTTTCCTGAGTATTATATGAATGAAGTTAGTAAATCCCCTTTTGAATTAGGGACTTTCACAATCCTTTCAAGATTCATCTAACTTGCTGCGTAACAGTAGTTTGTTTCTTTTATTGCTGCATAGTATCCCAGAGGACAGATACACAGTGTGTCTGTCTGTTCACCACTTGGTGGCCATTTGGGCTGTGTCTAGTTTTTGGTCATTATGCATAGCTGCTAAAAATATTTGCACAGAGGTTTTTAGGTGAGCATACGTTTTTATTACTCTTAGGTAAATACCAAAGAGTGGGAGAGCTGAGTTGATGGTAAGTGTGTATTTGACTTTATAAGAAGTTACTAAACTGTTTTGCACTTGCCAAAACATTAGAAAAAAATTTTTAATTGTCTATCTCTTCATCCACGGACACACACACATATGCACACTTAAAACATACTACCATTCCCACTCATAGCTTCCCCAACTAGTAGTAACCTAGGAAAGAATTTGAAAAATCAAATCATTTAGAGAGACACATGAAATCAACTCTTGAGGCAGAAAAGAGGTGACGGTGTGTTTGTGGACACAGTGTGATGCTTAGCCATCAATGGCTGTTTCCCTTCACCTTTTGTGATGCCCTGATTCAATTTGGTGCCAAGTTCTTATAACATGTGTGAAATCCCATTGCCGGGTGGGATGAGGGCAGGGAAGGAAATATTGTTCCCACCATCTTCCACTGGAGAATGCCCGGGACTGACTTCCTGACGATCTCCTCTGTTTGCCTTCACCAGGAATGGCGGCCCTAGACAGGAAGGCGTCGGGGAAGATGGGCATGCGAGCTGTAGTCTATTACATGACGACCACCATCATTGCCGTGGTGATTGGCATCATCATCGTCATCATCATCCATCCCGGGAAGGGCACAAAGGAAAACATGCACAGAGAAGGCAAAATTATGCAAGTGACAGCCGCAGACGCCTTCCTGGACTTGATCAGGTACCCAAGCCCTCTTATCTGAGGCAGCTAATCAAACTCTGAAAGTGGTATCCAACCGAACCAGCCTTGCTGGGCTTGAAATGAAGGCCACATCTTTACTTCTTTCTGACAGAAATTAAATTAAGGATCCATATTTGATCTTATGTGAAGGAGGTAAGAAGAGCAAGGAGTGGACATAGATGGATTTTGAGAGCCCTGCTCTTAGGATTTGGAATCTTATCACTCAGTTTTCCTCTCAACTGTGTGGCTCACCTTGGAACATTAATAATTCTTAACTTACTTTTCTCAAGTTTTGCTTTTCAAGACTAGTTTTTATTCAAGTGTAGCCTGTTTATTGGACTCTTCTAATTTAGAACTTGTGATCTGTATAATCATTCATTACACACAATTTCTTTCCAAAGGGGACTTCAGAGATCATCTAGTCAAACCTGTTTCAAGGTCTTTTGGGGGGTGGGAGGGACTCTTTATGAAGAAAGGAGTTGCCAGATCAGTAATAAAAGGCTAAAGGATGGCTTCTTTAGCATTGTTTTATACACAAGCCATACACTGATTACAACTAAGTCTTACCTAGTCTTGAAACAGACTTGATGATAGAGGTTGTCTTACACAAAACTATAACATAAACCAAAGTTTGACTCTGGAACCTTCCTGCTCGCTCTCTCTACTCTTGTATCAGTCAGGTCCTGGCAAGAAGCATATTACACTTTCAAAGGGATCATTGAAAAGGGCTGGCAAAGGTACAAGCAGGGTAAGGGAACCTACAAGGGATGGTGAGGCAACAGGAGACTAACAGCAATAGGAAACTCTTTTATTACCACCCCGAACTCTGAAGGATAAAGGCATGAGCTGTTACTGAAACTCGGGAAGAGCTGTGGCCTTGGTTTTGAAAAGGCCCTCAGGAGAGGGGCTAGAGCTCCAGTTCGGAGGGAGGGAGATGCTGCCCAATCTGTCAAAGAGAGAGCTAGGAGAATATGGACATCCACTTCCCTCTTTGCTACTTTGTGCATTCCACTGACAAACCCAACAGGAAGCCAGAAGGTAAGAGAATCCACGTGCTACAGTCCAAGGGGTCAGCTTCCCTGAGCTCAGAGCAGCATGGAGAGTGGATCTGGAAGGGTGAATGGAAGATATCCCAGCATAGGCTTCTAGATTCCCCACCTGCTTAGATCCCTCACCCACCGTGGAGCCCCACACAGCCTGTTGTCCCCGAACCTAGCTCTTTCCTCCCTTCCTTACAACCTATTTGCAAAGTAACTGGTTTACCAAACCTAGATACCAACCCAAAAGGGATTCCCATTGATCATCGAAAAGAAACTCCTCCTAGGGACTTGATTTCACTTGCCATCACTATGACTGGATCTATGGCAGGTAGAATCAAGAGAGATTTGGAAACAAAGGGTCTCTTTGACCACACCTCTCAGTTCCTACTATGGGTGACTTTGTACCATGTGTATGAAAGCTCACCCAGCCCCACAGAGCCTCTTCTTGAAAGTTTTTTTCAGGGGATTAATTGCAATGATCTGAAGGTAGTAAGCTACCCTATAAAATTTCATATCAAGTTGTCACCCAATAGCTATGTTTTTATTTAGTTCATATCGTTAATAAGACTTTTTACTATTTTTTTCATAACTTTATTATCCTCAGGTAGTTTTAATCAGAAATGCTTTATTATATTCTCTTTCTCTATAATTTGTATTTTTTGTTTGAATATGGATCTTGTCATTCCCTGTCTGGTTGATCCATCACAGTACCATGTGTAGTTCTGCCCATCCTTGCCCCAGTGGTAACTATATGACTAGACTCTCCCCACCCAATCACTGGGCTTAAACATTTATCCTGGACTCTCCTGAACTCACATTTCTATTGAGGTTTATAGAAACAGACCCATAGAACATGGGAATGAAAAGGAAACAGGATGGTCTAGGCAGTAGGAAGAAAGGGACACAAATGTATTACCTTAAAATATGACTTTGGCAGCCTACAGCTCTACAGTCTTGGGCTTTACAGCTGCCCAAGTTATGTCTCCTTCTCCCACAGTCTTCAATCTTGGAGCTCTTATGATAGTTTAAGCCAATTTCCTCTTTAACAGATTAGTCTACTGAGACCTAAATGGGTGCCATGACTTGGCCAAGGTCACACATCTGGTTAGAGACTCTCCAGCTAGCCTGCTAGAGTGTTGTTCTTTGTCCTTTCAAACACTGCTCTGAGGAAGTAACGAATCTTGCCACATAAGCCTCAAGGTCAAATTTTGTGGCCCTTCTTCCCACTCGTCAACAGAAGAGCCTGAGAAGCTCCAGTAATACAGGGTCAATGTCCCATCCCCCAGGGGACCTTTAGGAGGACTTTTGGGAAAACAAATTTCCACAATCTGACCGTGACTTTTAACTCAGAATATTTGGTCCCTAAACACATGGCGCCAAAATGGTCATTATTGAATAATACTGCAACTAACTAGAATGCTTCTGACAAGAGGCATTTCTATTCTCACTTTGATTCTTCCAAAGAGCAGGGTTTTGATGATATAGTGTCTGAACAAAGAATCCCATTGTCTAACAAGAGGACAGGTGAGTTAAATTTGGGACTGCCCTGAAAAATATGACCTACATGGGCCACATGCAGGGATGACCATATGTCCCATTGTAAGTCATAAGTCCACCAAAATCTTTCTCTTTTTCCATTTGCTGCTTAGTTCAATGCAATCTTTACCTTAGACACAATAAAATAGTATTTAAGGAGATAATTTATTATTGGGAAAATTTTTCAAGTGACTATTATTTTCTTTTCAGGAATATGTTCCCTCCAAATCTGGTGGAAGCCTGCTTTAAACAGGTAAACACTCTATAGCTACTAATGTAACCTAGTAACGCCTCTAAGCAGTGGTTCTCAACCTTCCTAATGCCGCGACCCTCTAATACAGCTCCTCATGTGGTGGTGACCCCCAACCATAAACTTATTTTTGTTGCTACTTCATAACTGTAATTTTGCTACTGTTATGTCTTAGGCGACTCCTGTGAAAGGGTCGTTAGACCCCCAAAGGGGTTGCAACCCACAGGTTGAGAACCGCTGCTCAATGGCATACCAACAGAGTGGAACCCTCTTTTTTATTTTTTATTTTTTCCATTTCTCTGCAATAGGAAATAACTTCTCAACCAGATGGGAAAGTACTAGGGTTTTCTCATGAATTCATTTTCTAATGAATTTCTACTGATGGTCTCATATGTTCTGTTCACCTCATACTGAAGGCTTATTAGTTGCCAAATACTGCATGTCTTACATACAAATAGCTTATTGAATCTCTGTTGATTTATAAGAAAAATAATCAGGAAACTCCCTCTCTCTCCCCACCCCCAATCTCACATACAAAAGCCCACCACGCAGACAAACTCCATATGAAATGCATTTGCAAGCTGTTTTCAAGATTAGGGAGGCCTTAGCCACTTTGGCTCAGCAGTTAGAGCGTTGGCCTGAGGACCAGAGTCCCAGGTTTAATTCCGGTCAAGGGCATGTACCTCAGTTGCAGTTCGGTCCCCAGCCCTGGTTGGGGTCATGCCAGAGGCAACCAATCAATGTGTCTCTCTCATATCAATACTGTATTTCTCTATCTCCCTCCCTCTCTCTCTTTCTCCCTCCCTCCCACTCTGTCTGAAAATAAATGGAAAAATATCTTCAGGTGAGACTTAAAAAAATTAATAAATAAAGATTAGGGAGATAATTCAAGTTTCTGGATTTGATTTTTTTTTTTTAATCAATGGGCCATTCTTTAAAAGTCTACTAAGACCTTATGGATTCTGAATGAGTAACCATATCAGAAAGTAATGACATTTGCATATATTGAATGCCAGCTATGTGCCCAGCACTCATGTTACATTTAGTCCTCACGTAAGTATGATGGATATCACTGTCTTCATTTCAGTGATGAGGCAACTTGTCCAGGATAACTCAGAGGGATTATACGTACGTATAAGAGGCACAAGATCTCCCAAGTAGTAAATGTCAGACCCAGATTCAAATCCATTGTATTGACTCCAAATTCTATCATCTTTCTGTTCCAACAACCTGCTTAGAAAGGGATGTCAGGGTGATGAGACACCTACCTGGAGGCTATAGTGAGATCCACTCCTTTTAGCTCCTGATATCCAAGGAACTCTTGGCTCTCTGTGCTTTGGATACAAATATATTTTACTATTAGGGGATAAAATTAGTAAAGTTCATTCTAACCATACTTGAATAAAAAAATAAAAATAAAAAACTGGGTGCAACCCAACAGCCCACAAGACCAGTGGGAAGCCGGAGCCCAAGAGGGACTGGTGCGATCCAGCTGACTGCCCACAGGACCTGCAGGGTGCAGGGGCATCAGCAAGGCCTGTGCAGCCCAGCAGGGGGTATTTGATCCAGTTACCCGCAGAACCTTCGGGATGCTGAAGCACCAGAGAGGCCTGGGCAACTCAGCAGGGACTGTGCAATCTAGTTACCCGCAGGACCTATGGGGTGCTGAAGCACCAGAGAGGCCTGTGTGACCCAGCAGCCCATAGGACTGTGCAATCCAGTTACCCACGGGACCTGCAGAGTGCGGGGGCACCAGAGAGGTCTGTGCAACCCAGCTGCGCACAAGATAGGCGTAGAGGATGTGAAAATGGAGGCGGAGTGAAGGGAAGCTACACAGATGATTTCCCTGGACCAAATGGGAATTACAACTAAAATAAAGATAAATCCTCAGAAAAAAAGCCACAGTAAAGCAGCAGGACAAGACCATAGAACCAGGGACATTGGTAGGCTCTGCGGAGGTGCAAGAGGATGGTGGGCTGGGAGCCCACGAACAGCAGCAGTCTTAGCTGTGAGCAGCGCCCTTGAGGATAAAGACCAAACCCACTCCACAGTGCAGAGAGCAAGGACAGTGCTAAAATAGCCACAGCCACTCACCTGGGAGCTACTGCAGAGGGAGGGCAGACTGGGCTGGAACTCTGTGGGAACACCTAGGATTTGGAGGGCACTCAGAGTTTTTGCTGAGTTGTGGCCACAAAGGATGGTGGCCAGTGTGCTCCTTCCCAGAGCTGTGGGGAAAAGCAGCAGACTGCCCCCCTCCCCCGCCCCTTGGAGATTCAGCCTTTCCCAGGTGAGGCAAAGAAATGCAAATTGAGGCTCATTAACAACCAGCATCTGTCCCACCCTCTGGAAATCCTCTTATGCAGAACACCAGAGCTACATTCCAAGGCACTGAGTAACTGAGACTACTAGCCTCAAGGAAAAAGCTAGAGGATAACCGAACCTTTCCTGGGCTTGCAAATCTACCCAGGAAAGTAAAACTTGACAGTGGTGTTTAACGTGGGCCCACCCAGGCTCATCGAAACCCAGTAGAGGGAGCCACAAACAACAGAACACCAACACCCACAGGGAAAATTTGGCAGGCTCCAAAACCCACTGAGATAGCCAAAATGGTGAAACAAAGAAACAAATCCCAAATGAAAGAGCAAGAGACCTCTACCGAAGATGAGATAAATGAAACGCAGTTAAGCAAGTTAGCAGAGCTAGAATTCAGAGCCATGATCTTGAGGAAGCTCAACGGCATGTGTAAGGACATGAGCACCATGAGTAAAGACATAGAAACATTGAAAATCAACCAATTGGAAATGAAAAACCACCAAGAAGAAATGAAGAATGACATAACAGAAATAAAGAACACATTGGAAGGACTAACCAGCAGAGTAGAGGAAGCTGAGGACCGGGTCAGTGAATTAGAAGACAGGGTAGAAAAAAATCAACCAATCAGAAAACCAAAAGGAAAAAACAAGTAAAAAACTAGGAAGACAGCTCAAGAGAACTGTGGGACAACTGGAAATGCAGTAACATTCACATCATAGGAGTCCCCGAACAGGAAGAAAATGGGAAAGGGTTAGAGAATTTATTTGAAGAAATAGTGACAGAAAACTTTGCTAACTTGGTGAAGGAAGAAGGCATTCAAGTTCAAGAAGCACAGAGAGCCCCAAGTAAAAAGAACCCAAACAGGCCCACACCAAGGCACATAGTAATTAAAATGCCAAAAATTAAAGACAAGGAGAGAATCTTAAAGGCAGCTAGAGATAAGCAACAGGTTACCTACAAAGACAATCCCATAAGGCTCTCAGTTGACTTCTCAACAGAAACACTACAGGCCAGAAGGAAGTGGCATGAAGTAATCAAGGTCATGAAAAACAAGGATCTGAATCCAAGACTACTCTATCCAGCAAGGCTATCATTCAAAATAGAAGGTCAAATAAAGAGCTCTCCAGACAAAAAAAAAAGGCTAAGGGCATATATTAATACCAAACCAGCTCTGCAAGATATGCTAAAAGGACTGCTATAATTAGTAGAAGAAATAGGAAGAAAAATATAACCACACTAAACAAAAACAGCAATAAATAAGTACATATCAATTATCACCTTAAATGTGAATGGTTTAAATGCTCTGATAAAAAGACACAGAGTAGCTGTGGGACAGATGCTGGTTGTTAATGAGCCTCAATTTTCACAGAGTAGCTGTGACTGGATAAGAAAGCATGACTCACATATATATTGTTTACAAGAGACCCACCTCACAACAAAAGATTCACATAGGTTGAAAGTGAAGGGATGGAAAAAATCTTTCAAGCAAATGGAAAGCAAAAAAAGCTGGGGTAGCAATACTCATATCTGATAAAGTAGATTTCAAAATGAAGGCCATAACTAGAGACAAAGAAGGCCACTACATAGTATTGAAAGGATCTATCCAACAGGAAGATATAACCTTGGTAAACATATATGCACCTAATATAGGAGCACCAACATATATTAAAAATCCTTTCGAGGACTTCAAAGGAGAAATCAACAGCAATACAATCATAGCAGGGGACTTCAACACCCTGCTGACATCACTGGATAGGTCATCTAGACAAAAAATTAACAAGGAAACACAGACTCTAAATGAAGTGCTAGATCAAATGGATTTAATAGACATCTACAGAGAATTACACCCCAAAACTTCAAAATTCACATTCTTCTCAAGTACGCATGGGACATTCTCAAAGATAGACCACATGTTAGGGCACAAACTAAGACTCTACAAGTTCAAGAAGATTGAAATCATGTCAAGCATCTTCTCAGATCACAAATGCATGAAGCTAGAAATTAATTGCAACAAGAACATGCAAAGACATTTGAAAATATAGAGGCTAAATAGCATGTTATTGAACAATGAATAGTTTACCATGGAGATCAAGGAAGAAATTTAAAAATTCCTGGAAACCAATGAAAATAAACACACAACAACACAAAATCTATCAGATACAGCGAAAGCAGTTCTGAGAGGAAAGTTCATAGCACTGCAGGCCTACCTCAAGAAACAAGAAAAATTTCTAATATCTAGCCTCACAACTTAAAGAACTAGAAAGCAAACAAAAAGAAAACCCCAGAGCAAGTAGAAGAAAGGAAATAGTAAAGATCAGAGCAGAAATAAATGACATGGAGACCAAAAAACAATTCAAAGGATCAATGAAACAAAGAGCTGGTTCTTTGAAAAGATAAGCAAGATTGATAGACACTTAGCTAGACTCACCAAAAAACAAAGAGAGAGAACCCAAATACACAAAATCAGAAATGAAAGAGGAGAAATAATAACTGACACCACAGAAATACAAAGGATTGTTAACAAATATTATGAACAATTATACGGCAACCAATTTGACAATCTAAGTGAAATGGACAAATTTCTAGAAACACATAGTCTCACAAAACTGAACCAGGAAGAGAGAGAAAACTTGAACAGACCAATAACAATATAAGAAATTGAAGGTGTAATCAAGACTCTCCCAGCAAAC